AGTACATCCATATTTGAATTCGAACCGTCGCAAATGTCATTACTTCCAGTCTTCTCTAACACTGATCGATCATCGGAAGCAGTACCTTGCCCAACTCCTTCCGCTCTTTCCTAATGTACCGTTGCTGACGGTCACTACTGTCTGCTTCAGGAGCTTCCGGAGTGCGGATAGTTGGAACAGCTGAAATAACAGAGATGATTTTTGTTATTTTTTATAAAGCTGAGAAAATAAAAATGCCTTACCATCTTTTACCAAAATATTCCGCCCGTAATTGACCAGTGTCCGCTGGGTACTCGCATTGTTTGCGTATGCTTCTGGACCAAATGCTGAGAGCAGACTTGTAGGGAAATTCCAGGATCTTGACAATACCCGAGAATTTGAGCCATCTCGCTCGATTCTTGGGATCTTTCGAGAACGTATGGAACCTTACAAAAAAGTCACTTTTTTCGCTTTCCCCTTCGTGATTCCGCATGTATTCACTGCGCACTATGGCATTTCAGTAATATTCAACGAGCGCTTCAGGAATTAACCGGTTTTACTCGATAAAACCACAGAAAACTAAAAAAAAATGTTTTCTCTTCGAAGCTTTTACCTTTCAAAACGTAAACACAAGTAATGACGTAGGCAAGCTGTGTACTGTGTGTTTGTATTTGTGACATCTTTTTATCATACTATCTGTTCACGCACACCATCTTACGGAACTGCTTCACCTCGGTACTGTACCTCATTGGATTAGTTCGACGTCCGGTTGTTACTAGAGTCCGAGAATACCTCTACATCTCCACGACTGTCTCGGGACGGATAGTTGTGTTAGTGAGGTAGGTTATTTTTAGATCAGGATTCACTGTAGTAAACGATGCGATCGGTTGAAGCAGAATTTGTTTTTATTTAAATCTAGTGGGGATAGAATAAAGCAAAGTGAAAATTTGCAAGGAAGGGGACAGGCCTGGGATTGAACTCCCTACCTTCTGCTCAGTAAGCAGAAACGGTAACCACTGAACTACCGAACCTCGTCGTAATGCTACATCGACATGTTTCGTCTAGGAATGATTCTCTGATGACTGTGTTGGGGAAGCAGCATATGCATGTACGTAATTGGTGGATTTGTTAGTTAATTCGACGCTTTTGGGCAATGCTGGACATTTACCACTTTTTTCAATAGTTTCTTGTTGAAAATCAACATTCGGAAGCATTGTCAATCAACATTCGCATGCGTAGCCATATTTCTGATCGAATGGTGATAAAATTATTGAAATTGGACCAGGGGCAGCTGAGTTATTAACGTTCAAAATCTTTCACAATTTTGTTTCATGTTCCATTTTCGGTTTTCACAAAGTGTACCCCCATATAGAAATCACAGACGTAGTCCTACGTCAAAAAAAAAACACAACATTTAATCCGACGAAAAGTATGCCCGCAACCGGTGTCACCCGTATTCATCTGATTCTTTTCCCGGTTGTTCTCGTCCAGCACCACAAATGCTTCCAAGTAGGACTTCGCAGTATGCAGCAACAGATCGCAAAATCCGTCATGTTTCCTTTCGTTTCTCCGTTGTGCGCTGTACCAAATTACGAAATTCGGGTACCACGAACGGATGACGTTTCGTTTTGGTTGTATAATCTGTTTATTTTCGAAGTGTCAAATTTAAGTGAAGATCCACGAAATGAAACTCAGCCCTAGTGCCGCTGAGTTCATTGTCCGCAGTGAACAATTATGCGAAATTTCATGGAATTCTGAGAGGTAAAATCTAAAATTTGTTTATGTTTTCGCTATTTAGCCTGGAACTGCTCTGGTAAGAGTAGTGTTAGTATCTCCCTACTACACACACGTCGGTAGATCAGGCACCGCCAAATACTTGAATGCATGTAATAATGTGACGTCTTGGAATTCCCATTCGCTCGCTTTCAGCGTACGTCAAGATCCGTTCATTCGACTGACTGCACTGAACTGCTTGCTATCCGTATCAGTCGGTCTGATCGGTTAAGCCTTGTCTAATGCTAATCACGGTGGGATAATCTAACCTCTGAACCAGCCATTTATGCCAGCGTGTGTGAAATAACATTGTTTTGAGCTCACCTAGCTAATAAAGTGCTGAAACGCAACGTTTACTCCCATCAGGAATCACTCAAGATGTAGATTGCTCATGCAAATTAGATGCTTTTAACCTTCCGTTCAAGACTGGAACGTGTTATCAACAACATTCAGGAGTTTGAGTGACTTTACAAACACTGGATCTGGCCCATTTGTTACTCAACGTTCGCACGTGCGCAACGAGTGGCGACCTCAGTATATTCTAGTATCTGCGTTATCTGCTCTCGACGATTGCAATTCTCTCCTTATCGACAGGAAGATGATTTACACAAAAAATGTGACGCTAGTTCGTTTGTTTGGATTGTATTCTGAATGATCCAGATATGACAGGGAATTATCACTAGACCAATAGTAATAAAGGCACCCCATGGAAACCGATCGAAGCAATTCAAGCATAACTTTTCAAAAGGACGTAAGTCGCAAAAATAAACAAATCGATATTTTGCATCTAACCGAATATAAAATACATGCTTTTCCTACGAGTTAATGAAAAACAAGGTTTTAAATTGTAATGCATTATGGAGAATATATTTAATGAATGCCCTATGTGACCTTCTTTCATTGTTTTTAAAATGGTGTTGATACACCCTTTTATTGTCAACATGACTTAACTGTTAAAATTTGATGATAACACAAAAACTGCAGATACGCTCACAGTGAAGCGTCGTATGTGAAAAAACAAAGCAACCACTATCAATCAGCAAATGCGTCAAGTTTGTATGTTTATTTTTGTATTTCCGGGAGTCTATTATTTCAAAAGTATTCTAATAAAATTGCACTTTAATCTTGACTTTAATATTGAACTTCACATACCAATCTGACCAGCGCTTTCTTAATACGAAAAACACAAAACGTATAACATCTGACGGCACATAATGCGGTGACCCTCTCATCTCCGCTGTTAACATTGATTATTTCACAACTCTGGGGAGTTATGTGAATAAACCAACAAACCGACAATTCCACAATGCTTTTCGAGCTGCCGACGTATCTTCACTGCAAAACAAAAACCGGTGTATCTGATTTGACGTATGTGAAAACCCTTCAGTCAAATAGACGAATCATGCAGGGTGTATGTAACAATCAAGGTGTGATACCGACGAATAAATCAGGGTGTATGTGAGTAGTACACAAGTAAAAGGTGTATGATTTTGTTTTATCAAAAGTCTTGTCCGTGTTTGCAAAACTCTACATTTTTCACAATTCTCTTAAACGCTATCCCTTTATCCATCTAATAGCACAAACAGATTTAAAAAAATAGCATTAACTTTTAAATAGCATTTAATAATCTCATATAAACATTGCTATCCAATGTTTCTAATTTCCTATCAATGTTACATACGTCCTTTTGAAAAATTATGCTTGAATTGCTGTCGCTGACTGTGTTCTGTTTGAAGCCGGAGCATGGCATGCTGCTGCTGCTGCAAATATGATAATGAATATGACTGCCTCTAACAAGTTCGAGGATGGGCCAATGTTAGAGCGCTATTAGAGCATGCGTGAGGAAATTATCGCGTTTAGTTGCCATACCGGTTTGATTTACGGAAGTTAGATTCCGGGCACGGAACTTGTAAATTACAGAATGCAATATGAGGCAGACTGCTCTTAGTGTAATTGCACTAACCTGTACACCTACGGACCAATGAACTGACGTTTTCAGTGTTTATAAATAGCTCCGTGCATATTCAAATTATACAAAAAATGCCCAATCATTTCCTTACGAGTCGAAGTGTATGTATATCTCTCCATTTCCGATCATTTCTAGTGGCTTATCACCTAACATGTGTCGTTGCTGTATCCATATCCAATCGGTTGATTCTTCCAATCGAATATGGATTCAAGAGTTGCTTTGTCATGAGACTGTCATCACCTGGACTTTTATCGCAGTACCGTTAAAAGGGCGTACTTTGGCTGCAAGCTTTTCGATTATTTACTATGGGTCAATGTAAATGTAGTGAGGAGAGAAGGTTCAGAGAACGTCCTATGCATGATGTCACGAACTCGAAAGCTAATAAAAGAAGCAGCCGTACCTAATCCCATTATGTGAACCATGTTGACATACTCTGTCGCGGTTGCTTCAAGTTCGCCTCTTTTCGAAAAACAGTGTACGGCAATGAAGTCACGTGTAAACCGCGATCGTGTAGCCTCCGACAGCACATTCTAATCGAATCAATTGCTCAGCTGCAATTGAAGAAAGCGACCAAATCCGGTATGATGAAATCGCATATGAAATGATACAATTCAATTAGGCATACAATGCAACATAAACTAGCCAATAGCGTGTTCGACGCTTATCTGTTACACTCAAGCCAATTCAACGCAGACGTTTTATAGGGGAAGCTTATGCTCTGTTTATACGCACCCCCACCTTGGTTGACACAAATGGACGCAGTTTTTCGTCGACCATCAAGCGAACGTTGTTAAATTGTGGGTCTTCTCTGCCCATTATCAGAGCTATCACTACACGCACTATTTCAACAGTAGCAGGTAGGGCGTTTCCTTCTACTATTGCTCCGTCTGCTTCTCCAATCTTGATGGGGACCATATTATCCGAACTGGACAGTAGTTAGTCAGCATTTTGAAAGCTATTTGCGGATTGGTTTCTGTTTTATGCTGCAGGCCTTGATTTGTTCGGTGCTGAAGATGTATAGGAAGTTCGATAGTATCGTGACTAGTCAACGCTGTGATGATTTTAATTTCGATATAAACTGGACGAACCTGCTGATAAAGTAAAGCCTGCAAACAAGAGCCGCGAGGAAGGTGTGTTCCACAATCGTTTTTCGACTGGAGTGTTTACGCTTGGAAAATATAATTTGTTTGATACTACATTGTCACTACTGTTGAAATTAATGATAACACCCACATTTTTACCACCCATTTCTAAAACGTTCTTTCTTTTATTATTACAGTTTCAGGATGCATGTGACATGGATGGTGCTGCGTAAGTATCATGATTTTCTATAGACAACATTTCAGGTGCCACGTCAGGACGGAAATTGCCTTTTTGATTCTAATAATATGGCATTGAACATAGAGTTACGAATTTTATATTGGCATGTCTTTGCTTAGACTGGTTGTTACTGTGATCAGAATCAGTGTAATTGCCCAATGAATCAACTGTTTGTGGCTAGGAGTGACCGTCCATTCTCATGGTACAAGTTCCAGTAACTCCAAATTTTGAAGTTCAATGTTCAGGCCCTTGCAGTCAGGTGTGAGCGGGGAAGGAATATTAGGCCGCTGCCATAGTGTGAGGGAAGAGGCGCGCGAAGCTTGAAATCGAATTTAAGGAATCATATCAATAATAGGAATCCTTTTGTATAGAACGCTAAGCGCGCCTCTTTGCTCCCACTATGGCAGCGGCCTTAGAGTGGCCCTTGTTGTTTTGGAGACCGTATTTACCTGTGCGTTCCCAAAAAGGTCACACGAGTGGAGATTTTGTTAGCATGTAATGTTCCTTGCATCAGAATTCATCTAAATTCACGTGATTTAGATATTTACGATCTTTTGAAGCCACGAAGATTGTGCAAATGCAAATACTTGGACCGTATCAACTCAGTAATGCTAAGAGACCTGGGGTAAAACTTACGTACTTCTGCAAAAGCAGTGAGCAAAACCGGTCATCCCTAGGCCACCGAGCCCGTACCATCGAAAAATTACGAACGATGATCGAACGATCTCGGCGATATGAAGCTATAGGCCTTTTTAATGCACCACCAACGTAGAGTGCGCCACGCGAGTTCGAGAAGAAACGTCAACCAAACCGTTTGTTTACATCAGAATAACTATTTTTCACAACGCAAATTAAAACATTTTTCATTGAACATCTTGCCAATTTCCATCGGTAATTGTCTTATTGTACGATTTTCTTCAGACCTAAACTGATTTGTACCTTAACTATTCACACACGAGGGTTTTTAGCGGAATGCTTAAATAAAACAGCAAAAAAGGGTTACATTCCATTTAATTCCACTTAATCAATTGTGGTATCCATGACAGATACGTATTTCGACTACAATGTGCAGTCTTCTTCAGTGGGAACCGTGGGAAGTGACCAGACACGTCCGATGACGACTTCTCCGGTGTTAGACAAATGACTGGACGATTAGGAAGTCATCTGTCATAGTCACCCACCGGGGACGTAACGTTTCATTGGTGGGTTTGATTTCGGGGCAAAAATTGCAGAGTAGATTTGGAAACAGTTTATAACAGGATTGTTCTACCGCGGCAGGAAATGGTTGGCTACGGGAAGGGTAATCATACAGTAGGTTGTAAAGTTTATTAGAACAAACTGAACTCTTCCGGCATCGTAGTGCAGCATTTTGTATAACGTAAATAAATCACAACTCATCAAGGAAACGTACTGATTTTTTTTTTCTAGCTCAATTTTTTTCATCATTATGAATTTTTACCCAGCATAGAATGAGAAATAAATTAAATGCAGATTGAAACATGTTCATCGACCATAGATACAGCCATTTAAAAACGCAAGTTTTAAAAATATTGTTGATGTTGTGTACAAGACACAACCGCATAGTTGCCGTAGACTACGATAAGCTGTTTAATGAAATTCTCGGGCTTAGTCTTGATAGTGATTTAAAATACAGTAGAAGTAATCTATGATTTCAGTCATATGTATATAATTTGGATTTCATACTTAGTAAAACTTGGGTAATTTCAGGCCCTCATACAAATCCGAATACATATTTTACTACATTTGGTTCCTGGGTGAGCAATTTTGGCTCTATTTTATGAGACATTTCGTAATTGATCGTGAATATCACATTGTTGTCTTTAAAGGTTTCGTGTGGTTTGTTGTCGCACATGCATCATTTTGCATAATAATACAGGGCATTTCTGTGGTGAATAAAAAAAGTGATTTCCCTATCAATCACGGATTACAAATTCCAGAACTTAGCACAAATTAGCGTTGTAAGTCCCTCCTACTTGGAGAATTATGTAATGGAACTACTTGCTATTCTCCAAGCTTATCTATAAATATAGGAACCATCTGATAATTTCAGTGCTTGGGACTGAAATCTGTAATCTGTGATAGGGAATTCATTTTTTCCCACCACAGAAATAACCGCTGCGAGTCACCGCCGTCCTATGTGAAAATGAACGGAGGAACGACAGCAGCGCTGTTTTATAACTTTTCAGGTTCAAACGTGCAATCAAGTGGTACTCAATTATGAAGACTGGGTTTGGGGAAAACGATTATTTCATGAAAAAAGTGATAAAATTAACACTTTTATGGAAATTAGAAAAGTATTTATTTTTAGTAGATTTGTAGAGCTATTTCCTATCGATTGGTGTGTTTGTATTTTAATTTAATCTATAAACTTAACATTTTTTCGTGACGGTTGCAATTTTAGATTTTCGATTTACCCCCTATACCTTCCCGTAAGACGTAGTCTACGTCAAAAGGTTGGGCAGGCTTGATTTACAGTGTATTATAAAGTTACTCGTAAACCTGAATGGACAACTTTTTGAAACACTGTAAGTAGATAGATTTCTGAAATCAGGGCTGGTGGTCGACAGAAAGAAATTCAGATACGTATTATTGCCACAAGTCGTGTTTCCTAAGGACTAACAAGACTATAAGGTCTGATAAACTGCACCTCATACTAAATTGAAAGACATGTGCTTAGGACCGTGTTTGGCGAAGTATATGAGAACGGTGTATGGAGAAGAAGAATAAAACACAAGCTGACGCAACTCTATGGCCAGGCATGGAAAATCATTTACATTCATTTGCCCCTAATTTTATTCATCAACAGAATTCGGTAAAACGATGTATGGAGCTTTTGTAGGTTTTGAAATCAGTGATTTGACACTGATGAAGACTGCACATTGTAGTCGAAATACGTATCTGTCATGGATACCAAAATTAATTAAGTGGAATTAAATGGAAGATAACCCTTTTTTGATGTTTTACTCTTTTTGACGTTCTTCTAATCACCACCAGAGGTTGAATCAATCACTTAGTTTCTATTAAAATAGCCTATTCAAATGGAATGATGTCACCGGCATAGCTCAACTATATTTTCGAGTCCGAATCAAGCATGAGTAATTTTTTTACCAGGACCTCAATTTTTCCCCACAAACCAGTGGCGTCTTGTCCATATGTGCACCTCGTGCACTGCACAGTCTCGAATTTAAAAAAAGTAAAATTTATATTTCATAAAAGTTAAGAGGCAAAAATTTAATACTCAATTAAAACCATTTTTGTCCGCCCTATTTATTGGTTTCATATGGATAGTAACTGAATTATCCACCACATCACTGGATAGTAGCTGAATTGTTTACCACATCGCTGCTCAACCTCTGTTTTACGCGCCACTGAAAGAAATGTACGTAAAAACAGAAGCGAGGCATAGCGATCTTGTTTTCACGTACGGGCACGCTGGGATTTTACCACGTGCAGACAACACTCTTTTTGGGTTTCTATGGCGAATGAGCGACACAAAACAAGCCGTTCTACCAAAGCCACCGCATGCTTAGTTCTCCCAGTCTGAGCACTTTTGCTTGTGCACTAGAAACGCTCGTATTTACAACCAGATCAATTGTATATGTATTTAAGTCCCGTAAGCATAATTGCCGCTGTGTTAGTGTTTATTTTGTGCACTTCTATCTTTGCACAGTTTAAAGAGAAGAGAATAAATTGGAACGTATAGGCAACGTCGCATTTGAGTTTCTCTCTGAATTGATTGAATCTTGGAGAGCCGTATTCGCTCACTACCAGGTCTGCATTTCATTCAGTAGCCTCAGCGCATTGGAGGAATATTTTTCCTAGCATTGTGCAACATTAAATAGGAATCATGGAACAGGATATTGTTGATGACCTCCTGAAAATAACGTTTGCCAGAAGATCCATGGAGGTATATGGAGCTTATAGCGAGAATGGAAGTCCCACGACCAAAGATGGACAACTTGAAAACGACATGTAAAAGAAATGGTAAAATCATAACGCGGAACTTTGCCAAAAATGGACAAGTGGAAATTGTTGGTTGTGTCATGCTCGAGGAAATTGAGCGGGAAGTGGAGCATTTCGAGGACATCGCAATTGGCGTCAACTCTACGCTACTGCTTAGGAAACGGTGAGTAACGATGACAAATATCATAAACATGAGACTTAAAAAGAAAATCAATGTTTCTATGCAAGAGTAAGCAAAACTGGTAGCAGAACTGTTTCCCATCATCATTTCGTTTATTTTTTATGGTACCCCCGTCGAAAGATTTGTATCCCATTTTTTTTATTATGTATCAAAATTGGCTTCTACTGTTACAGACAAAATATAAATAAAATAGGTGCACAATTAGTGAATTTTCTCACGTGACGCCACTGCTTTTGACTGATTTCTATCAGTAGGTATTGATTTTCTATATTTACCTAGCAGTTCCACGCCAAATGACGATTAGGATGAACTCGAACTTCTCCGATTTGCTTAAAGCTTTGCATAAGGCCGTTCGTAATGCTGAGCTTCAAAATTGTTTCAAACTACTCGACAGTTTTAAAATTTGCAACTGTCAAAAATGAAACTACGAGAAGATCAGCGCAATGCACAGTTTTAAAAGGTGTTTTGTATTCATCCCATACATACGTGTGCGCGTGTAAAGTTTATTCATGTTTCCTGGAACAAGATTATTACAACAACATAGAAGATCCTGCTGTCGAAACATGTAAAGGATGTACTATCTGAAGTGCGATTCGATGATGGAGCAGATTTCAAGAGAGCAAGATAATCCGACGTTCTCACACGCCAAGTTGGCAAAATTGCTGGGTGTGTCCAAATCGACTGTGACTGGGAGCGTCTGTCGACCGCCAGGAAGCCTGGAAGCGGCGGCAATCGTAATCCGGACGTGGCAGCCACGACGAAGAAGGTAGCGGTGAAATATAAGCGGAACCCTAACCTCTTCTTCCGGGACGTCGCTGGCAAGATC